GGGGGGGGCATGTTGGGGACCTCGGGGTCCAGCACACTTTACACCCAGCAGCAGACGCTCAGCAGTGTTACTCAGTGGCGAAGACGGAGCCCACTGGCTCTGTAATTTTTGTTTAAAATGTAATTTTTAAATTTATTTTTCAAATTAACAGAATTGGCTTTGGGGTGTATAGTTCTATGGATTTTAACACACATAGATTCGGGTAGTCACCCCCATAATACAGAACAGTTCCATCACCCCAAAAAAACTCCCCCATGCTATCCCTTTGCAGTCCACACTCCCCCCACCCCTAGACCCTGGCCATCACTGTAGTTACTTCTTCTAGAGAATTTCACATAAATTCAGCCGTACAGCATGTAGCCCTGGAGATTGGCGTTTCCCACTCGGCCTGATTCTCTGGAGATCTCAAGCTGTTGCCCACAGCAGTAGTTGGTTGCCTTTTATTGCTGAGAAATATCCCCGTGTGACCAGCAGTTCACCCAGCCAGCCCGACACTGTGGGCGTTTCCAGGGGTTGGTGATTACTAATAGACCTGCTTAAACATCCATGTCCGATTTTTGTGTGAAGAGACGTTTTGATTTCTCCTCACTTCCCATGCGTGAGTTGAGGTGCGTTTCCGTGCGTTCAGGGGCCTTCGCAGTTCCTGTTCCATACACGGCTCAGCTCCTCCGCTCACCGTTCGGTTTGGTGGTTGGAGGAAGTCTCCTCGCCCTGGTGCCCAGTGACGCGCTTCAGTGGCTTCGCTTGGCTCCCAGGTGTCGCCCTCATGAAGTGGGCTGGGTTCTAGGACCTTGTCAGCGGGGTCCCTGCCTGTTTGCTCGCTCCTCCAGCCGCAGAGGACCACCAGGGTCCACACCCTCGCCTGGTTCCCTCTTACAGACAGAACTGCCAGTCTCTCCGCCGGGCTGTAGGCTCGGCCTCGGCACAGGTCGTGCGTTTCCCTCACCCTGGACCCTCCAGCGCTGTGTCCAGCGTGGGGTGGGCACTCGCGCCCTCTCGTCAGGACGGACGGATGGATGGATGGGCGGATGCCGCTCATCTTGAGCTGTGCAGTAGCCTCAGTGATTTTTCTCCAAGGTCTAATTCTCACACGTGTTTGAGATGTCATTGTATTGGAAACAAGCAAGAGAAATATATGAAGTTATTAAAGCAAAAGACTAAGCCTGGAGAATTCTTTTATATGTATGAAAAGAGTGGAAGGCAGCATGTCAGATACAGACAGGGTTGACTCTGGGTAGTGGAAACAAGGATCCTCGCTTTTTCTTATACTTTTCAGTGTTTTCCAGATTATAATCACTGCACTGGGGGAAGTGTTTCTTGTTTCTGTTTTTTTATCTTTATTGCTGAAAGTATTACAGATGTCACTTTTGGCGGCGGGGGGGTGGCGGTCGGTTTAAAAATTTCAACCATTGCCTTGCCGGGCGTGGCTCAGCTGTTGAGCGTCGACCTAGGATCCAGGCGATCGGGGTTCGATTCCCGGTCAGGGCACATGCCCGGGTTGCGGGCTCGATCAGTGACTCTCTCATCATTGATGTTTCTGTCTCTCTCTCTCCCTCTCCTTTCCTCTCTCTGAAATCAATAAAGATATATTTAAAAATAAAAAAATAAAAATTTCAACCATAAACTTTCACAATAATCCACGTGCAACTTTGTAACAGAGCCGCAGCAAGCTCCTCATTCTGACTTGGACGTATTGCACCATTAGTGACCGTGACTTCATCTTCTGATAAATTTTGCAGTGGGAATGCTAAGGGAAAAGTGGCTGATAGTAAGGAGCTAAAGCTGTTTTAAACAGACATTTAAGGAAGAAAGGCAAGGAGAGGAAGAGGGAGGAAGGAAGAAAACCATCGAAAACGCTCTAGGGGGACTAAGTCAGGCGTGGTAGAGCCACTCGGTGCGCCCGGGGCCTGGCAGAGCTTTGGCCCCACCGCACCCCAAACGTCTTCTCCAGCCACCCAGCCGGGCGAGCGTGGGGGCTGCTGTGACTGCGGCTCCCCCGGAATCCCGCGCCCCCTCCCCGGCCTGCAGGAAGGGTGGGGCCACCTCTGTGAAGATCCTGGCCATACTTGCCATAGAAAATCAAATAAAAATAATAAGCGATTGAAGGAACAATGGGATCATAGCTATGCACTGAGAAAACAAATACAGAGCTTCTTCCAAAAAACAGAAAAACTGGAAGAAAATACGTAACTCGAGTAGCGCGACGATTGTTCTTTCCTGTTTTCAAAGTTTTACCACTTTACATTTTTCAAACATGTATTAAAAAATAAAACAATGTAAAAACTGTATTTTAAATGTCAACTCAGCCGTATTTGACTCGAAATCTTACCTGCCCAGAGGGAGCTCCCACTGGCTCACGCGCTCTTTTCTCTCCCCCGCAGGACGTGCTAGGCGGCGTCCTGATCACCGCGGTCCTCATCGTGGTCACCTACCCCGCCTGGACGCTCATCGACCGCCTGGACTCGGCCAGCCCCCTCTTCCCCGTGTGCGCCCTCGTGGTGCCATTCCTCCTGTGCTACAATTACCCCGTGTCTGACTACTACAGCCCCACCCGAGCGGACACCACCACCATTCTGGCCGCCGGGGCCGGCGTCACCATAGGTTTCTGGATCAACAGTTTCTTCCAGCTCGTGTCCAGGCCCACGGAGTCCCCGCCTGGGATTGAGCACATCTGGCCGCTCACCCCGGACATGCTGGTCTTGGGTCTGACCAAGTTTACGGTGGGGATCCTGCTGATCCTTGTGGTCCGTCAGCTTGTGCAGAACCTCTCACTGCAGGTGCTGTTCTCCTGGTTCAAGGTGGTCACCAGGAACAAGGAGGCCAGGCGGAGACTGGAGATCGAAGTGCCTTACAAGTTCGTCACCTACACGTCGGTTGGCATCTGTGCCACCACCGTTGTGCCCATGCTGCACAGGCTGCTGGGGTTGCTCTGAGCCCCAAGCACTTGGAAACTGGCCCGTTGGACAAGAGCCAAGACACGGGGAAGTGGTTGGGTGGGCAAGTCTTGACAACACATTTTATTTTGCAAATGTTCTTTAAGTCACACGTCTGTTTTGCTGATGCCTATGATAAACGCCCGGTGCTGTGTGGAAGGAAAAGTCATCTCGTAGGAGCTTCGAGTCCAGAGGGGTCATGCAGCCAGTGAAGCCAGGCTGAAACCGTCACCCTGTCTGCTAACTCGGGCTCCAGACCAAGTCCCCGGCTGGCAGGGACAGCAGGTGGTTCGGGAAGGACCACACGCCCCCCTGGCTCTGGAGAGAGGGGGGCGGCATCCAGGAGGCTGGAGACGGAGCATTTTTTCAGTGATGACCTGGCCCGGCACTGAGTCTCATTTCCCAAACTGGATCTTTGGTCCGGGAGGAAGGGTGGCACCCTGTGAAACTGCATTCCTTAGACAAGGCGACTTTCTTGTCATGATCAGATGAGGCTGCCCGCTTGGGTGGTGAGCGCGCTGCAGACCCCACTGTGATGCCGTGGGAGGCGGGGACAGAGCTGTGAGGTCCCAGGCAGGAGCCCACTGCCCTCGCGCACCCCAGCCTCTGGGGGGGTGAGTATTGAAACGGGTCTGCTGCGGCTTGTTTGCGAGTTTGAGGGATTCCAGGTGCCACTCCTCTGATCCGAGGAGCCGCTGGCTGCTCCCACCGCACCGGGCAGGAGGGTTCAGCCTCCACCAGAAGCGGCTGCCTCTGGGCTGCTCTGAGTGTCCTGCTCTCTCCCGCCTCCCAGTGACTTGGGGCGGCCCCCTGCCCATCTCAGCTGCTGCTTTTTTTTTTTTTTTTTTTTTT